TCCGAACAACCTGAGAGTAAGGTCTGCGAAGGTCAACGAACTGTCTGCGAACATTCCGAACGACCTCAGAGCAAGGTCTGCGAATGTCAACGACCTGTCTGCGAACGTTCCGAACGACCTCAGAGCAAGGTCTGCGAAGGTCAATGACCTGTCTGCGAAAATTCCGAACGACCTCAGAGCAAGGTCTGCGAGGGTCAGCGAACTGTCTGCAAACATTCCGAACGGCCTCAAAGCAAGGTCTGCAAAGGACAACGAACTGTCTGCGAACATTCCGAACGACCTCAGAGCAAGGTCTGCGAACATTCCGAACGACCTCAGAGCAAGGTCTGCAAAGGTCAATGACCTAGCTGCGAACATTCCGAACGGATCAATGTGCATGCACCTTTTTTCGTACCCCGTGTTAATCAAGAGCTTGTAGACACCCTAAGAGCAAAATGGGAGAAGTGGAGGATCACCCTGCTATTCTTGGAGCAAGTATCTGCGCAGAGATGTTTGAAACCAACAACAGGAGACTTTGGAGAAATCAAGCAGATCGAGCTACACCATTTCTCGGACGCTAGCACCACGGGTTATGGACAATGTTCGTACACTCGAATGGTTGATGTTGAGGATCGGATTCACTGCGCCTTTGTCTTCGGAAAGGCCAAGAATTTGTCCTCTGCGTCCGATTTCGATACCTCGGCTTGAACTTTCGGCTGCTCTGGTATCGGCCAGAGTGAGCACAATACGCCATAAAGAGCTCGAATATCCCATAGACTTGGAGACCTTTTGGACAGACAGCCAGGTGACGTTAGGATACATTGGAAACGAGGCTAAAAGGTTTCACGTTTTCGTAGCCAATCGAGTTCAGGAAATTCGTGAACAGACGAAACCGAAACAATGGCGACATGTAAAAGGTGAAGACAACGTAGCGGACGAGGCCTCACGTGGGCTGAGTCCTGAGGAATTGGCAGATGGAGGTGCGAGATGTCTCAGGGGACCCAAGTTCCTTTGGAATTCAACCCTACCCGAAGCGTGCAAACATGAACGTGAACCCGTCATGCTACCTGAGCTCCGAAAGATAGCAATGAACACTAATACAACTGGTAAACGGTATGCATCTACTATGGATAGAATCTCGCGCTTCTCCTCGTGGATGTCGGCAAAAACCGCAGTAGCCAACTGTCTCCGATACAAGGATCGAATCCTCGCGAAGGTCAGAAATGTAAAGCTGGACCAGGATGCGAATCCTCATTTAATGGCCAAAGATCTTGAACGCTCTGAGGAGATCATAAAAGCAGCACAAGACGAAGCCTTCGGCAATGAGAACATTGTCTTGAGTCTTCAAAAGGCCGCAGGCACCACTGGGGGAGAAACCCAAACAGTCAAGTCGAGTTCACCATTGTACAAGCTCGACCCTTTCATCGATGATCACGGGATACTTCGGGTAGGAGGTCGGATCAGGCGAGAAGAGTACGTTCACGGCCTCAAGCATACAGTAATACTGCCCAAGGTTTCCCATGCAACCACATTGCTCGTCAGACATCACCATGAGGCTGTAAAACACCAAGGCAGAGGAATGACGGTAAACAACATACGCCAAGACGGGTTTTGGATAGTAGGCTGCCGTAGGGTAGTTGGGAGCTATATCGGTAAATGCGTGGCGTGTCGTAGAGTGAGAGGAACAACCGCACAGCAAAAGATGGGAGATTTGCCAGCCGATCGTCTACAGCCTGCGCCCCCCTTTACCTACTGCGGCGCAGACGTGTTTGGCCCGTTCTACACGACCGAACGAGTAGGGCGTAAAAAGGAGCTTAAGCGGTATGGAGTAATCTATACGTGTCTCGTCATACTGGCTGTCCACATAGAAACTGTAAACTATATGTCAACTAGGGGTGCAACGAATCACAACTTCACGGTTCGGTTCGGTTTTCGGTTTTCACACTTCGGTTCGGTTATTTTTGGTTCGAATATTTGCGATCAATTACAAATCTTATAACACCAAACAGAAGTGCAAATTTAATAATCAGACTGGTTTATAAATATTAAATAATAATGTCACTAAAATTCTTTGAACAACAAACCTTTAATATACAGTACCCAAATGTTAGGGCAAATTCAACAAAACCTTTGTACAGGAAATTCAAATATTTGACTTCAGTAAAAGTAACCAAATAGGCAAATATGTCCAATAGTCCATCTCAGTGTCTTTGTACTTCATTGATTAGGTGTAAGAAACACAATCCCAATTATTTTGCAGACAAAATGAACGCGTTGACCTTCTCGTGGCATGTAGCAAGTGGTCCATCGCAGTGCGCGTATCTCAAAAGTGTATATATCGGGTATATATAAAATGTGGAACCGAAACCGAGCCGAAAACGGAACGACGGTTCGAATATCCGAATGGTGGCGCAAAAACCGCGGTTTTCGGTTAACCGCGGTTAACCGTTACACCACTAATGTCAACGGACTCGTTCATCATGTCGTTGCGGAGATTCATAGCCATTCGAGGATCCATAAAGCTACTAAGGTGCGACCAAGGCACAACTTTCGTCGGCGCTGAACGAGAGCTCAAGGACGCCTGGGCTGAAGTCGACCTTGATGCGGTAGGAAAATATCTCCTGAAGCAACATGGAGATTTTTCCTTTCAAAACAACGTTCCCTCTGCTAGTCACCAAGGCGGAGTCTGGGAGCGTCAGATCAGGACGGTAAGAAGCATTCTTAGCTCTATGCTTTTTACTCATGCGAGCCAACTAGACGATGAGTCACTGCGAACATTCCTACATGAGGTGGCAGCAATCGTCAACGGTCGCACCCTGACAGCAGAAAATCTCGATGAAGCTACCGGTCCTGAGCCTTTAACACCAAACAAGCTCACAATGAAATCGAGGATCGTCGTCGCTCCTCCTGGGAACTTTCATCGCCAGGACCTCATGCTGAAGAAGCACTGGCGTCGCGCACAACACATGGCCGACCAGTTCTGGCAGCGATGGAGGAGAGAATATGTACAGAGTCTCCAAGCTCGGGACAAATGGGTACGCCCCAAACGGAATCTCAAAGTAGGCGATTTGGTTATCGTAAAAGAGTACAATGCACCAAGGAACATGTGGAAGTTCGCTAGAGTCTGCAACGTCTACCCGGGAGAAGACCAGCTCGTAAGAAACGTGAAGGTGGTCATCGGCGAGCTGGCTCTGGATGATCAAGGAAAGCGGAAAGGGAAGGTGACTTTCCTGGAGAGGCCAGTACAGAAACTGGTACTGGTGCTTGAGGACGAAAATTAACATCTTCCTTGGAGTCGAGATTCTCGTCAGAGACTCTGGCTAGAGAGCCTGTTTCGACAGTGCCATTCAAATTTAGCACCAATGTGCAGAACTAGGACTCCAGTTTGTGGTAGTTCGGAAACCCACCCTGCTTGGAGCGAGTTATCAGTTGCCCTGGATGCTTCTTGTCCTTGCGTTTTACTGGTATCTTGCAAGGATCATTATTGTGTCATTGTCCCAAGTTGGGTTTTAAATTGTAGTTGTAGTTCATGCGGCTGCACTCTATCTTGAGTCCTCAGGTGGTTCAGGGCTACTGGTTCTCACTCAGTGATTGGTCAGATATTTGTGTTTTTTGTCTGAGTTGACAGAACCAACCAAGTGAAGTTTGGAGTATGTGGATTCTTTTATTTGGTAAAAAGTTGAGTTACAGCTAAAACCGGATAGATTTGCTGTTGGTTACGAATTGCGCTAACAGTGCGGCTGCCCTTCAGAGCAGTTTTCTAAAGTAAATTTAAGATTGACTGTTATTTGTCATTCGGAAAATTGCATAATTCTGCAATTTTTAGGGGAGTGTAAATGCGCCCGTTCTGATTTTACCGTCTTGTGCCGCCACCAAGCGGGAAGAAAAACTAACAATAAGTGCTTTCACCCTGTACACCGGGGCAGTGTATTTTAGGCGCTTACGGCTGCCAGCCATTTCGATATTATCCGTTTCAAACTACGATTTCTGGAAGAACCAAAGAGGTATGTATAGTGCCTCAATATGACAGATTGATATAACTGATTTTCCTTCTCTTATTAGTAACTACGTTAAATTTGATGACTCCGGTATTTTATAGAGTTTTGAGGCCTTTGTTGTGGCCGATCTCGTGTTAGATTTTCGCGTTTTTTTTAGCTCTGTTAGAGCCGTGGCTGTGCCGTTCGGGGAGATTGTTGTCTATCTCTCAGCCCTGGCGTACTTCTAAAGTGGCCTTGTGCCGTCTATAATCATTAATCTACTGTTTTACGCACTGGTTTGCCACACACCCTGCGTATTTTTGGGCTAAGATCCAACCTTTGTAAACTAGAATGTTATACAGTACATGTAGTAACTAGTTTATAACGCAATGGTTATGATGCCTGCTTTATTATATTGGCCTTACCTGTTACGGGTTATTATTCTGTATCATATTCGGCTGCTTTTCATAATTGTGCAATATATCTTATATGTAACGTAATTTATGATAAAAGTTTAACAGTTCTCTGATCTGCGGTAAAATTTGTATATTTTCAGATTTTACGCATATTCGGGAAAGCATATATATTCGGAAAAGCATTTTCAGGCATATTCAGAAAGTATTCGCATATTCGATAGAACATCCGCATATACGACTACATGTTCGTTCCGTTGATATGAATAAATAC